TTGTATGTCATTCACTAATGCTTTCTTCTAACAGAAAAGGAATGATATTTTAATAGATTTTTATTCTCCACTAGATTAATGCAAAGCAGGACACTCCATTGTTTTTATTAAAGACTCTGAAATCTTGTAAAACAAAAAAATTCTGCTATATAAATCAATCAATCAATCTACTACAGGCAGTCCCCGGGTTACATGGATCCGACTTACATCAGATCCCTACTTACAAACGGGGTGAGGCAACCCCGCACTAGCTGCTTCCCCCCAGCAGACCAGGGAGACGCGAAGCTAGCGCCGCCCCCAGCAGACCAGGGAGACGCGGAGCGGCTTTTCTCAGCTGACACCTAAGCTTGAGAATAAAGGACTGAGGGAAGTGAGGCGTGGGAGAATAAAACTGAGCTCTGGAGAAATGTTTGGCCAGAGTTTCCCCTACAAAATGCACCAGTTTCGACTTACATACAAATTCAACTTAAGAACAAACCTACAGTCCCTATCTTGTACGTAACCCAGGGACTGCCTGTATATATTGGAGAGAGTTTGCCTGTCTGATCAACAGCTTCCTCTTATCATAACTTAAAGCAATGTTTGGTTATACCTAGGGATGTAAAATATTATAAATTAGTAACCATGTAATCAATAACCATGAGGCTGCCAGTTGCTCCTGGCTGCTGACCTACCGACTGCCCCCAGCCCTGAGTTTAACCATTAATAGGAACCAATAAACAGTGAGAGGTCTAAGATGGATATTAGGAGAAACTATTTCAGTAGGAGGGTGGTGAAGCACTAGAATGGGTTACCTAAGGAGGTGGTGGAATCTCCAACCCTAGAGGTTTTTAAGTCTAGGCTTCCCAAAGCCCTGGCTGGGTTGATTTAGTTGGGATTGGTCCTGCCTTGAGCAGGGGCTGGACTTGATGACCTCCTGAGGTCTCTTCCAGATCTATGATTTTATAATCAGGTATCAGAGGGGTACCCGTGTTAGTCTGAATCTGCATGAACAACGAGAAGTCCTGTGGCACCTTAAAGACTAACAGATTTATTGGAGCATAAAGTTTTGGCTGAAGAAAGAATAGTATCTTTTTGACTAGTGGAAAAAACAAACTTTGCTGTCTTGGTAAATACCTCACTCCCTATTCTTTTCCACCAGGAACTAAATGACTGCATCAACTTAAACTGAGCAATAAATTAGCAATAATAAGAGACTGGCTTTTAAAAAGTATATCCTCCAGTTTGCCCTATGTTTCTCTGCCTCAAAGAAAAACACAGATACGATTCTTAGTAAGATCACCTTTTATCATAAGATTTTCTTCAGTGTCTTTATCTAGACAATACAAAATTAATTAGTCCAAAACAGAGATGTAACTTCAAATGTCTTGTGTTGCATTGTGTGCAGAGCCAGCCTTATAATACATGGACTTCCACCCATGTGGAAACATTTCAGTCCCAGTACAATTCTTTAATATCGTTGGCAGCTCTACTTCAGTCTGTCTTAAACAATAATCTTCAAAATGAATTTTCCAAAGACCCTTTTTCTCCCCTTTCCCTTTAGAGAGGTCATCCAAGGCTATACTTAAGGTTGTCAGTACTGTCCACTATTATCCTCTTTTTTCTCTCCAGAGGTTGATCTCACCTATAAACCATTTTTAGGGAAAAATGCCCTTTACAATTCAATAGATTCAGACAAAGCCATTTCTTAAAATAAATTTTCAAACATGAAATATTTAAATTTATGTCATTATTTTAGAAAGTCTATTAAAAAAGAAATTTGGTCAGCAACAAGTTTATATTATGGTATAAAAAAGTGTTATATATTTTGGAGAGTGTGTTTGTTGCTGTTTGTGCAAACTAAAGTCATAATTCACAATTATCTACCTCGGGGTGTGGAACCTCAGGCCTGGGTGCTGGATCCGGCCCCCAGCTTGCTTGCATGGATCCAGGCCTTGAGGGGCAACATTGGGGAGCCTGTGCTGGCGCTCCAGCCCCCTGCCGCCCATCCACATAAAAATCTACAAGCATGGGCCCCTCTAGACTCTGGTGTGCAAGGGGAATGTGGGAAATGTCTTTCTTCTTCTCAGTCAGGGGCTTCTTGCTTTACTTATCATTTGTGTGTGGCCCCCGACTGATTTTTCTGTGGGTCAACAGCCCCCGACCCAAAAAAGGTTCCCCACCCCTGACCAATAGATACCAAATTTTGCATAAACAATCCTGCCACTTAAATTAGCTAAAATACTACTTTTTCACAATAATATGCTGAAAGGTTTACATAATTTTATTTTTCATTAGAAAAAAGTCATTACTATTATGATTAGCGTTCATAAATATTTGCTAATAAAATTAAAACTGAGTCACCTATTCAACTGTCATTTTAACAAAGAAAATTTTTACTGTTACAAATCACAAAATAATTCAAATTAGCTAAGGAAAGAGTAATGGAAGCTTTACAAGTTTCTGATTCCAATTTACTATATATGGTATTATTCAATAAAATGAATTATGTTTGAAGTTGAAATTTTACATATTTAAAACTGTTCTTGTATTTCCCTTAAAAAAATTGTTACATATTTAATTTCTTGAACTTTCCTAAAAGTGTAATCTACACAAAATGATTTAGCCCAATCAATGATGAGCCTCACTTGCTAGTTACCTATATTTCTCCCCTTTAAAAAAAAAAAAAGAGAGAAGAAAATGCTAATGTATAAAAACAAGTTGCTGGACATTAACAGGAAAAAAAATCAAACTTTGGTATCTTTGGCAAAGATACCAAACACATTAGTTAGAAAAAAAAGACTGAAATGGATTAGAAGAAACTATTTTGAATTTGCAAGTGTATAATAGCATGTATGTGCATGACTGAGGTTGAAGCACTAGGTACCCAAACATAAACAAACATCAAACTAAAACAAAATTGAGCAAAACAAAAAATTTCTCACCCCCAGAGTTTTCTTCTTCTGGATTTCCTGATACAAATGACTTGTATAGTATCTGTTTTAAAATCTCACTGTAAAAATGTTTTTGCTGAATGTAAAATATATTCTAATTCAGTAAGATGTGTCTGTAACTCCAATTCCATTTTATTACTCCAGTTCTTCTTATTCATAGTTAGCCTTTACTTTAAAACACTGGAAATAAGAGTAAGGTTATATTTTAATTTCTGTCTTTTTATGACTGCTGCTTATATATGGGACACTCAACTGGTAAAGAAAGATGCCAACTGTGACAATCCTTGAGTAACATTGCTTGTAACATTGATCAGAAGAGATAACCCTTAGCACTGATGGTTTTATAAAAACAGTGCTTTGATTTTTCTAAATAATTTTGCTTCAGCCACTTTAGAAAACAATCTTCTTGGTGACCCAGTTTCCTAGTTCCAATTCCACACCTTCCTGAACAACTACAGGAGCTAGCTACATGAAAAAGAAATTTTACAATGATACTTATGAGTAGGGATCTCAAATTGTGATTAATCAGCTAATGAAGAAATTGATGGAATTTTCATCAACTACTTAATTAGTTGATAAGGGGGGACTCTAGCTACCCCAGCTGCAGCTTTCCAGTTTAAATGTAGTAGGAACCAGGAACACAGCAGCCCATATTTTACTATATTTAAACTGCAGCGCTGCAACAAGGTTAGCTCCTTGTGCGGCATTAGCCAGGACTAAGTAGCCCCGGCCAGCTAATCCTCTTAGTATATTTAAAAGCCAGAGCTGCAGCAGTAGGGGACCCAGAGGGAAAAGGCAGCAGCAGAGCCTCCTTCCCCCCCCCCCCTTGCTGCCTCTGATGGGGGGAGGGGGGGGAAGAGAAGAAGAGCAAGTAGTCAATTGGACTACCCAATAAGGCTAGGTTATAGACCCTATTTGTCAGCTCTGAAATTCTCTTTGGCTACAGACCCCAGCTCCAGTGCTCTGTTCTCTCCCTCTGCTTTGTGCTGAGCACGTTGCAGCAGTGATTTTGGAGCCATAAGGTGGGTTGCCAGGAGTCTGGTTTTCAACCAGAACACTCGGTTGAAAAGGGATCCTGGCAGCTCTGTTTGGCAATGCCCACAGAGCCCCTAAAGGTCCAGTTGGCAGTGCAGAGGCAGCCCGTACATTTACACACACGCCCAGTCATTTTTTTTTAGCAGCCTGGCTCAGGCCAAGTCTGGGACCTAGAGTGTATTAGGAGCCAGGCAGGCAGCTAAGCGCTCTCCCTCAGCCTGGACAGGGGTGGCTGCCACCCCACGCCG